ATTCCTAAAAAGTGACTACTCTTACCCCATTTGGGGCATAGGAACAGTGCCAAAAATGGCTCCTACGAAAATTTCCTAAACTTAGCAAATTAATCCCCTAATTCCATAAACACCAAAACTAAGTCAGAAATATTCACGGGTAAGGAACACAGGCCATTTGGCTATGGAGCTCAATTAATCGGCTATCAATAAACGGTCAGGCTCAAAGTGGCTTCTCCTAAAGGGTCTTATTCAGGTCAAATGGGAACTTTGTTAATTCATTACATGGTTGACTAATGTCTTCATTCTTTCAACAACCAGATTATAGTGCAAGCAATTTAAGCCTAAACACTTCAAAGATGTTTTAAAAGCATAGTCAAACGCTAGCCAGCTCACAAAGACAAAGTTTAAAGAAAAAATTTCAAAAATTTGACATGAATTTCCTATGAATATGGGAACTCTTCCGGTAAGGTATACCTTACCGGAGCCTCCGTGCGGTCTCCACATTTTGAGGGCCTTCCCGGTGGAATGTTTCGACGAAATTTTTTCAGCATGTTCTTCATCAAGTCTTCTACATCCATACCAAATTTCAGGAAAAAAATCAACCGGGAAGACAGTCAAATGATTTTTGGAAGATAACTTCACCCTTTATATGTAACTAACACCTGCGCATGCTAACTCTAAAAATCACATGTAACAACTACTGCCCGAATGCCCAATTCACTCCCCCACACTTAAACTTTGGCATCGTCCTCGATGACCAAAAATGCACTATGCACAAGGGGGTAAAGAGGATAGGGTCACGCGTGCTCAACTTAACTCAAGTCAATTATTACAAACAGGCGATTATTATAGTCATAAAAAACTTCCCTAAGGCGTTGGTCGGTGCAGAACTAAACTGAGTCAAGTGATCCTCGGCACATCATCCCCAAAGCAAGACACTGAGCTGCAAAAACAAAACACAAACACAAAAACAAACCCAAAAAACACCCCGGTTTTTTTTTGGTTTTTCTCCCGGTGGTTTTCTGAAAGCAAACAAACAAACAAACAATAAATGCAGAATAAAACTGATGTGAGTTTGCAATATAGTGAAACTCTCTTTTTCATACCATCCCTCTTACTCGCAGATGCGACTGAGTATCGCAGTATGGTAGGTGCATTACAGTATTTAACTTTGACAAGACCTGATATTACTTATGCCGTGCATTTAGTCTCCCAGTTTATGCATGCTCCACGCACTACTCACCTCTTTGCTATCAAGAGAATTTTTCGATATTTGCATGGCACTATTGATCATGGTCTATAGCTCCAACCTATACCTACGGCCACGTGCATCATGGCGTATTCAGATGCTGATTGGGCTGGATGTCCTGACACTTCTCGTTCCACGACCGGTTATGCTGTTTTTCTGGGGCCCAATCTTGTATCTTGGAAGTCCAAAAAGCAGCCCACAGTCTCTAAATCCTCTACAGAAGCAGAGTATCGAGCAATTGCCTACACAGTAAAGGATACCCTCCATATTCGGTCCATCCTGTTTGAGCTCGGTTTTCCTGTTCACGCACCAGTTCGTTTATTCTGCGACAACATCTCTGCTTCTTACTTGACAGCAAATCCAGTTCAACATGCTCGGAGCAAGCACATTCAGATTGATTACCACTTTGTTCGTGAACGTGTAGCTCATGGTGATCTTGTAGTTAAATATGTGCCTACTAGTCTCCAGCTGGCAGATATATTTACTAAGAGTCTCTCTAGTCAGCAATTTCATTTTTAAAAGGACAACATGCGCGTTGTATCTCCCGCACAGTTTGAGGGGGTGTAATAGCCTAATATTAAATTAGGAATCCTATGTATCTTTGGAAACTCTTTTTAGTATAAATATATCTGTCAGGTACCCTATTGGGTAACCTTTCCCATTAATTCACAGTATAAGGGAAGGGTCGTAGGGAAATAGGGATAGAGAAGATTGGGTCCAGATTGAGGCTTCAAATTGAGGGTAGGGTTCTATGAGGAAGATGTGGATAGTAGAGGATTGGGGATAATCGGGGCGAGGTAAGAACGCAAGTGTTACAATGATAGAGAATGGGGGAGATGGGTGAGGAAGAAGACACCGATACGATACAGGGAGAAATAATTGGGGCTGGTAAATAGTTGGAAGGGTAAAATTGGTAATGCACCTAATAACACTTCCCATATAAAGAAATGGTACCGTCATTTTGGGACATCGCAAAAAGAAAATAAGGTACCTTCAATTGGGACAGAGGGAGTAATGAATTTGCTATTTAACTTTTAAAAAAAATTACTCAAAATTGTAAAAAAATATTTATGAAATCTTAAATTCAAGATTTGAATCTACTAAAAAAAGTTTTGGGCTTTATTGATAAAAAAAATCTAAGCTTAAAGATCTCCATCAATTAGATCTTCAGATTTTTTACATATGCAATATTGGTGTGATATGAAAGATCATAAAAATGATATGATTTTGATATTAAAAATGAAGCAGAAATAAAAAAGTTATAACACTTATAAAAATAAGGGATTCTTTATCCCCCCTTTCTCCAAATGAGTTGGCCTAATTAAGGTAATAGCGGGTGATGGACCGTGTGAACTCAGGAAGAATTAAATACGAAGTACTCGTATTTGTTTTAATAGAACTGATAATACAATTTTTAGCAACCAATAACAGATTGACTTATCATCGATTTATAACTCAGATTTACTATATAAAACGATAGATATGTAACCATTCCTTATTATAATGATAAACGTAACAATTATAAATTATGTTTGAGCCTTTTTTATTTGATATGATCTGAATGTTTATGATCTCATCAGAATATCTCTGAATGTTTATGATGTAATATGAATGTTTCTGTTTTTCTTATATGAAATAATAAATTATATTTTTTTATATTTATATATGCAATATTGGTTTCATATGAAAGATAATAAAAAAATATTAATTTTGATATATTATTTGTAAAAATTGGAGATTAAATACAAAAGTTATACTCCGTATGCGTTTAAAGAAACAGAATACTTTTGCTCCAAATAAGTAGCAGCGATTATGTAGGAAGTAGGAACGTAGGGAGATGACCGTGAACTGGTGTCATAAACGAATTTGTATTACCCAATTAGATACAGACATATTGTTGGTTTTAAATTCAACTTTATTATTGATGCTACCATAGGCTAGAGTCATGGCCCAAATACGAAATTATAATAAAAGCCCGAGATCAGCCCTTAACGGGATTAATTCATAAACGGGATCAGTCCTTAATGGGATTAGCTGATAAACTGGATTACATTAATTAGTCGTTGGGCCTAATTAGGAACTAGACCCACGAAAGGAAGCCACAATCAGGTCGGGCTGGACAGCAGACCTCGAGCCTGAGCGGAGTTCTAGTGAAGTCGAATCTTCCTAGGGCTTATGTGGCAAACTATCATTCGTGCATAGTTATCTGACAACGGCGGGAATAACAGAAGAAGCATGGACCTGAGGAAAATAATCATTGCACAATATTCGAGACGCAACAGGGGTCTATTTCAATTAATAGCATTTAATGTATCAGTTTCCTACTAGGCTGCTAAAACACTAGTTCCTAAGGTATATAAATTATTTCATGTACTCATCCTATCAAGTGACCGAATTTCGGAATAATAATAATGTCTTATAATGCCTAAATTTCAACTACTCTCGTAAATATAACTCTCGTAGTTGGGTTAAACTTCATGAATTATGTAAAACAATAAATGGTGTAGTTTTAAGTTGTTGTCTGATTGTAACCGTCAATTGTTTGATTAATATAGTTTGGTGATTTTCTCTGAGATAAAAAAAATAGTGAATTTTATTTCTGTTGTTTTGGAAAACATAAACAGAAGCCAAATTTATTTTAAAAAACATTGATGCGGAATACCTGGTTGACTTTTCTACCAAATATAGCCATTTAATCGCTTGCCGGAAAGATAGCTCTCCCACGGTCCCACCAAACACAGCGAGTAAAAAAATTACGTATAAGTATAACCGCTTTTACAAAAAAAAGTAGATTCAATTCTAAAGAGAAAAGATAATAGAACTACTCCGTATAATTCCCAGCAGAAAAGAAAAACATTGTTTGAGAAAATTACATCATATACGAAGTATGACTTATGCAACTTGAGCTTAATTGGGTGTAAAGTGTAATTAATTAGTAAAGACGTACCGGTTATTCTCCGCCGGTTTTGAGAAAATTACATCATATATGAAGTAAAATGTGTTCCCAAATTACATAATTGTGTTCCCAAATTATGACTTTTGTATTATATATCTCCGTCTCACTTTATGTGTCTTATTTTGGTTTGACATAACTTTTAATAAGTTGATTGAAAAAGTAAAAATTATAGTTGATATTTGAATAATAAAGTAAAATGTTGTTGATCACATATTTCTTTTCATGAAATGTGACACTTATTTTAGAACAATCTAAAAAAGAAAGTAAAACAAGATAAAATGCGACAAAGGATGTGTTTTTATCCTAATATGATGCGACATAGCATGTATTCATATGATCATATCATAGGGACTTCTCTCTTTCTTATTTCGTTCCATATGTACCTAGTCATGTATTAAACAAGAATCGGTATAATGATACATTTGGGAATTGTCATGAGTTTTAGAGCGTCTTTTGGTGACATGTTTTTCGGCTTATCAACCTTATCAACCAACTTTTTATAAAAGACGAAACAGTTTTTTGCTCGTTGAATTGTGTGATAATCATACGAGTAATAAGTAAGGTTGGAGTAAAAACAATGTAACATTTTCTGTACTTAATTACTTAAAAATATTTTTAAAATAATTTTTTTCATAAATCAGCAGTCTCGATCACTCAATGAACTCCAGTGAGAACTTCAATTCATTAATTTGAGCAGAACCAATCTTTTCAATGCTATCAAACTGGCTCTTAGCTGTCTCTTTTTCCCTCCTTCAATTCCACCCGGTGGGGTTCTCGTATAAATATGGAGAGAAGTAGAGAAGGCTTCTTAAAATGAAAATGAGAGCATCTCAACAAATTGCAATATGGATGTCTTTTGCAAACGTGATCTTCGCTATCCCCATTATTGTAGTCGCCAGTTGGATGGCGGCCAGCAATTCTTGTCTGAGGACACTTGGATCCGGGTATTCCCTCTTATCGCGATTGGAGTCCTCATGCTCCTGTGTGGCTTTCTTAGCTGCGTGGCGTTCGGGTGTGATACGGATGAGTGTAAGGCCACTTACATGGTGGTAATGGGGATTTTATTGCTATTGATGTTTGCCTTTGTCATTTCCCTCGCGGTGTACTCCACATACTCAGGCTCCGCCGAGAAGGCGCCAGGTCGGGGTTACGCGGAATACCGTTTCCGTTCATTCTCTTCCTGGCTTCGCGGCAAGGTTAGCGATAAGAATGGGTGGACCGGAATCGCAACTTGCCTCGGTCTTTCCGAAGGCCCGTGCGGTGACTTGAAGCGAACATCCTTCTCCTCGTCTGAACAACTTTATGCCGCAAATCTCACCCCTTCGGAGGTACGTGTTATATATTGTTACATATCAAATTTAATAAATTTTCAGTTGTTCTTAGTCATTCTTACTTTATTCTTACTTATCGATCAGTTCAATATTAGCCACACAAACACACTTTGGACTATAATTATGCATTTTGTGTCATTTCCATATTTAGTCCTCGTCTTTCACTTTATCCATTTTTGGTAACTGACTATTGTTTTCTTGACCATTTTTCGGTCGATCTCTGGACATTTTTACTACTGGAAAAGGATTATGGGTCTGTTTGCAACAACTTCTGCTTTTAAAAAAGTGCTTTTTTTAATGAAATGGGGAGAAGTGATTAAATAAAAGTTGATAGTGTTTGAGAAAAAGTGATTTTGAAAAGTAAAAGTGGGTAGTGTTTGGTAAAATAAGTGCTTTTTGTGTAATAGAAAAAGTAAAATCACTTTTGACGCAGAAGTCGAGAAAAATAAAAGTTGTTGTGTTTGGGAAAATAAATGCTTTTTAAAGCCAAAAGCTGAGAAGTGCTTTTTTAGAAGCAGTTGCAAACCAACCCTATATATAATCAATAGTCTTTGTACTTTGTATATAGACATACACAAATAGACTCATCATTATTTTCTTCGTAAAACTAGTGTAATGCATGAGGCATGCCTCAATAGTAATAATACTTTAATGTGGATTACAATTTATGAGAAACATTAATAGAGATTATGAATTATACTCCCTTTGTCGCATAAAGAAGTTCTCGTTGTTGTTTACGAAGTTCGACCGAAGATAAAGCAACTTGATCCATGTTCACACTCAGATTATTTTTAGTAAATAAAATTTACATATTCAGAAACGTCATTAAAACCGCTACATGGTCTGATCAAGAAAATTTAAATTTGACAAAAATTTGATATATAAAGTAAAAAATTAAAAGTGATTTAAGTTGACCAATAGAATAGGGAATGTGAACTAGATTTCGGAAGGGAGGTAGTATATAATTAATAATTATGGACCAACAATTTAAATGGAATAAATGTCCCTCGATCGATAAAATAACCACAACCAGTTATATTTTTGTATTTGATAAATGATCTCTGTATTATACATAATATAATTTGTATTACTACGTTAGATGTTTTGAATTGGGCTTAAATTTATGGTCTACCTGTTCAGGTCTGATCTAGTTTGATAGATGTCTACAGAGTACTTTATACGATAGTATAAATTTTAGTATTGTCGAAGTTTAGTGTGATCTGATCTAATCTGATACTCTAATTTAATCTAGTCTGATGTAATATACAGTAACTTGTTTAAAAGCACAAAATTCAATTTTACGGAATACTCGTATATATTTTTATAGTGAACGAGTATCTTTACCCGTGCCGTGCACGGGATAAAGATATGTTATTAAACATATGTTATCTTTTCTTAAAAAAACATATCTTTTTTAAGCGAACCCTAACCCGAGGGGAGACGACCGCCTAGAGAGAGAAGTTCTCTCCTAGATAGAAGATAACATTGATTGATACTTGATAATTCGTATTCTTATTTATTCAGTATGCCTTATTTTTAACTACTTAGCTAAACATGTTCTTCATTAATCTATATTTACCAATTAAAAAGGCCAATTTTTTTAATAGCTCTCACTTACATCCAAATGAATGTGTTCTTTTCAACCATCTTTACCTAATATAAAGTTACTCAGTGCCTATTTTTATCTCTATTAGATTTAACATGTGGCTTACTATTTTTTCAAAACTAAATGCACATTTTCGGAGTTTACGGAATATTTATTTAAATGTGTGTAATCAATTTTTAAAAATATTAGCCCATCAGGATTTAGAATGCAGCAGTTTTGTGACATTTCGATTCACTACTAGAAAACTGGCTTATAATGACACTTTGTTAGTGACACTTTCTGCCCGAAAGTGTCACATATGTTCTTTCTCACATATAAGTGTCATGCTTTTCTGACATAATAATATCAACATTTTTTTCTGACATTAGACCCGTTTTTCTTTAATTTACTTGGACATTTTTACTTTATATTTTAACACTTCACTCTATTTTATCGTCAACTTCTCCCCCATCCTCAATCAGCTTTACTCATCCTCTTCCTTCGTATGAACCCTAGCCGCCGCACCCACTACAAATTTGAACTCTACCGTCCTCTTCAATTTGTTCGTTCATAGAAGCTCAGGCGTTTGTTCGTAGAAGCTTTACCCCTTCACGATCGAGCGACTATTTGACAGAGCCAGAGAGTTCCATTTCCCGTCCAAGTAGCGGTTTCCACCAATTTCCAGGTATGTGCTTTTTCCATCTACTCGTTCTTCATCCTTCGGAAACTTATTCAAAATTTTGTAGAGTGTTCATATGATTTAGGGTCTTTGCAGTAGAATTGCGATTTTATGGACCTTCAGGAGGGGATGTTGTTTCCGAGTCGTAATAGGTGGTAGCAATTATCGTTCTGCGCTGCCCAATTGATTTCCGAGTTGGTGCTTGGGAGCGACGGGAATCGGCGATTGGGGTGGAAGTGATGGCGTCGTCCCCTGTAGATGATGTTGCGCCAGCCATAGTCCGATTCCTCTATTTGGGGTTGATGGCGTTGACGACGCTGAACATTGTGCCTTCATTCCAGTAATGGGAGATCTTCACAGAGGTATTTTCCACAGAACACAACCGGATGGTCTCTCTAGCTCCGGATCTATGTTAGGATTGAAAGTAAAAAAATTGCTTTTCAAATCATTGACTCAATTGCTGTACGAATATTGAAACAAAGAGGGGTCATTCCTCTTCCACAATCATTAATCTTGAGGATGCTTTATGGTTTAGGGATTCAGATGTTTCTATCTCTGCTTTTTTTTCCTTCAAATTATGCAGATTTGTTCTTAATATGAGGGAACATCCTTTTTAAGAAGAAATGGTAATTTGGATAGTTTCTTTGATGGACAAGTCAGAGCACTGTATTGAAGATGTTCATCAATTTATAGAGGAGCTCATCTCATAAGCCATCCAATGCCTAAATTAAAAGTCCTTATGCAATTGTTTTAGAGAAATGAAAAAGAGATGTTCAAAGGTATTGGACTTTATAGACCTACTTTTATTTTCATTCAGTTTCATTTATAGTGTGTTTAACTATAGAGTACTTATTTATAGCTACAATTACATTTTATGTCAGAAGCTGTTGAAATTATATTCCATTGTATGTATGGCAGAAATAACCTTGAACAAAAATACATACACAAATTGAGTTTGAGCGATTGTTTTATTCTCTCATCCAACAACTTTTTGTTTCATTCTTTTAGGTAAAGTCTTTGCGTTGTTTGGTATTCTGGCTGACTTCTATCATCTTATTTTTCATCTAAATTTTTTACTTGCTATTTAGATTGTCAAAAGTGCAGCTGCTAGTTACTTGATCAAGATCTGCTGATTTCCCATTTCAAATGTGCTGATTTTTTAACCATAAATGTAAAATAGCAAGAATCTAAATATGAATAGAGGGAGTATCAATGTACCATACTCTTGTTTAAATCTAAAACTACTTTTATCTCTTACATAACATCAAAGCAGTTGCTGATGTTGCCAGATAAGTGGTTAAAAGTGCTGCTTTAGAGGTCTGCACTATTAGTTATCTTTCTGTGGTTTCACAAATTCGCATAATAGTTGGTTGTAACTAAGTGTTCCACTTCATATGACTTTAAAGGATTAAACGGAAAATAATAAAAAGTCTACAACTGTGGTTGCTTATAGAGCTACATTGGCAGTAGTTGACGTTGTTATTGTAGTGGAAATCACAAGGTTGGTTTCTATGTTGTTTTGTGATTGATTACAAGTCAAAGTTTTCAAGTTAATTTTCATGTTTAGAAGCTAAAGTTCAAGTTAATTTTCAAAATTGATGCTAAACTTGTAACAGTTGGAAGCTAAAGCTCGTGAGCTGAATTAGAAGCTAAATTTCAGAATCTGAAGTCAATTTACAAGTTCATTTTCAACTTGAATAAGACTGACCTTGTTGAGAAAGGGCAAGTCTCTACAGAGGAAGGAGAAGCTAAAGTTTGTGAGCTAAATGTCATGTAGTCAATGCTAATGAGTGAGCATCAAAGCCTTCTAAGGTATGCATTTGGTTCATTTTGTTGGGAGAAAAGTACTTCCTGTGTTAAGGTTTATTTTTATTTTATTGCAACACCAGGAGCAAGCTAGACTATCAGATCATCTTCTAGCTTGAACTCTGTAAACTTGGATTAACTAAGCTTAATATGACTAGAATAACCTTATTAGTGCTTTAAACTTTTCGATAACAATTATACATAGTGAAGGGTAAGAGTGGAAAATGATCAATGAGTGCTTTCTTGATATGTTAAAGCCACAATTAATTGCAGCATACTTACTTTTTAAAATGATGGCTAAAAGCGAATAAAGGGAGCACTTGTTTTCCATGAGCATGGTTGTAGTCTTAAATTCTGTCGCAGCATTTAGATTCTTTACAATTTTATAAAACCTAAATAAGACTTTACAGTAATATGATGTCCATGATATGTATTATAAATGATGAGAGTGGATGCGCAATACATCCATGATATGGGGGGTCTTAATATTGTCTACCTCAAGTTTCAGCACAGAAGATCAACTTTTAAAGAGCACCAATACATCTGTGATGGGGGTAGCAACTTTTAAAGAGCACCAATACTTATATTCATTAGTATATAACAGGCATACTCTGTTAATGAGTTGTTATTTCTTGTTCCAGTACTAAAAGGAAAGCAGGATCAAAAGACAGAATTTGAGGTTTTCAACTTCACTAGAGCTGGTGGAGTCGCCCTTTCCATGTATAACACTAATGGGGTTTGTTTATTTGCCTCTCTGTTTTCTTTATTGCTTGTTTTTAAGTGATTCCTATGGGATTTGAAATTTCAGTTTTGTGTCCATTTTACTGGATTATGCGGTATCCACTTTCTACTTTTATTTGAGTATATGCTTTTGAAACTTATGCTAATATTTATGAAATGCTTATACGTAGTAGTATATAGGCTAACATGGTGCCTATTTTTAGCAATTGGATGTATGAGATCAAATATTAAACTATGGGAACTAACAAGCAAAAAATGAACAGGTGATGGAGTAAGCTCTTAAAAAGAGTCTTTTGGTGTTCATCTACCATCAGAGGTTATTTTTTAGCAACAATAGTTTGGCGTTTTCACATATACATTATATTCATTTCATTGTAGCTATCTAATGTATCTTGGTTTTATTTCTTTTAGATATTGAAAAGCCACCAAGAAGTAGGAAGCACTAGTCTCATGTTGAAGATCAACCGATTTAGTCATAGGCGGAGCTTCTAGCAGTTGGAGGATCTCAAATTAGTTTATTATAGATTATAGATTTAGTTGAGTTTTTGTTGGAAGGTGTATGACATTTGAATTGTAAATGATAATTCTTTTTATTTTCAATAAAGTGCCTTTTGATTTTTCATACATTGTCATTTTTATTTTTCAGTAAAAATCTTATATTTCGTGTGTGTGTGTGTGTGTGTGTGTGTATATATATATATATATATATATATATATATATATATATATAAACATTTATATAAAATTAATATCATGTGATACCAATGTATCATAAATTTAATTGATACTAATGCGTCAAAATATAAAGTAATATTATTTTGTCATAATTTTTTGTGATACATTAATGTCAGAAATTAGTGACACTTTACCGGTGACACTAAATTTAGTGTCATAATTCCCGACCTTCTTTGACACTTTTCTAGTGTCAAAAAAACTTTCTGTGACACTTATTTAGTGTCACTATAGACCATTTTTCTAGTAGTGATTTTAATGAAGGCGATGGTCGTGTGCAACAATAGGTTGTATAACATGATTGGTAGCAGTTGATTCATTTTTCATTAGATTGGGTTATTGATGCTATTATGATCTTACTAAGTAAAATAGGGATTATTGGATGAACAAAGATTGCATACTTTAGACTTTTAGTAGGCAATTTTTAAATAGAGGGTTAAATGAATTAAATCTATTAAAAGGTTCTCACATCAAGTGGTAGCTAATAATTAAAACATAAACATGTCAAACTATTCAATGAAACATATAAATGTCCCATATTCAAATATAAAATATGATAGACCGTATCCATTTCATGAACAAATAGTATGTAGTACTATATTCAAGTTATATCTGTGAAAAAGGAATTATCCTTTATACATGTTCTAACTTATTTTTTTAACTCTTACAAACCACTTTTCATGTTAGGATATACTCCCTCCGTATCAAATTAATTGACCCGTATGCTTTTTCACATTGTTTAAGACAAATAAAAAATTACTTTCTTAAAATAGTACTTCCCCCGTCCCGAATATTTAAATATTTAACTTACCTAGAAAGGTATGCATGAAGTTTTATGGATAAAAACAGGTTTTTTTATGGTAGGATAAAAAGAGTATTGAAAAGTATTAAATGAAGAGTTGTTTTACTTGTTATATACTATAGTTAGATTCTGTTTGATAACCCTATATTTCGGCTTATCAGACTTATCAACCGACTTTTTCGCCAAACACGTGAATTATGATTTCACGTGCTCAATTATGTATTATTAAGAAAAATTAAAATTGAAGTTACTTTTCTGATTGTAATCAAATTACTATAAACGACCATTTTTAAAGTTATAATACTTTTTAAAAAACAGATATTTTTAAAGTGTTAAATTATTTTGATTATTATATATTCAATATTGGTGTCATTTGAAAGATAATAAAAAGTTATGAATTTTGATATATTTTTTATAATAGTTGGAATTCATATCTAAAAATTATAACACTTTAACAAAAACATAGGATTTTATCAATTACATTCCTATATGTCAGCAATTAAGAGAACCGTAATCAAGAAATACCGAGTAATACGGAGTACTACTTGCGTGTAGACTTTTAAATTTAGAAAGTGATTATTTAAAACAAGTGGAATTGACATGACATGTGACAAAACTTTCCTTAATTGTAACCTTGAAATGTATTATATATAGATATAGATATAGATACTGAATAGCCAGAGTCCATTCGGATTCGTTAATTAATGGTAGGAGATAGTAATATCGTTTCCTTAATTGTAACCTTGAAATGTATTATATATAGATATAGATACTGAATAGCCAGAGTCCATTCGGATTCGTTAATTAATGGTAGGAGATAGTAATATCGTTTAATTACATTGAGTTTAAAGATTTCTTCAACCAATTTTGGAGCAGATTGCGTAGAAGCTTATTCCTTTATTTAAAAAATGTAAGATTTGATGTTTTTATTGTATTAATTTGATTGGACTTGAATTCTAATCAGATTGGAATGTAGTAGATTTGATGTTTTTGTTTTATTACCTTAGAGCATCTCCAATGCTAAAATGTGTACGGTGCACATGTGGCATGAGTGATAGCCACATAAATATGAGCAAATAAATTATTTCTCTCCTTATTTGAATGATTTTATACAATTTTGGTAAGTTTTTCCCTGCAATGTCAACTGCAATGTCAACATTTAGACGGTCTCCTTGACATTGTGGAGAAAAACTTACTAAATCTGTATAAAATCATTAAAATAAAGAGAGAAAGAATTTATTTACTAATATTTATGTGGTCATCTCTCATGCCACGTGTGCACCGTGCACATTATACCATTGGAGATGCTCTTATCGGTCTCAAAGTGCTTTTGAAATTTACTTTTGTTGGTTGGCACAATTTCATTAATACTCCGTATCTAACTTTGATTGTTAAAATTTTAAATACTCGAAATGAAATTGTAGCACAGATTATACCAACAAAAATTTAAATGCTCAAAGTTATAGTAACTTTATCCGTCTCTAACACACATGATATTACGCACATGATATTTAGCCCTAATTAAATCATGAAATAATTATATACGAAGTATATTTTTATGGAACTAATGTTTCACTCCTCCGGGCGGCCTCTTGAATTTTATGCAGTCAGGATGTTGTATTCCTCCACAAAGTTGTAATTTCACTTTTATGAGTCCATCATGGCCAACATCTTGGACAAAGATCAACAATCAAACAGTGGCTCTCGACACTGATTGTGCCATATTTGACAATAACCAAAGCAAACTTTGCTTGGATTGCCAGTCTTGCAAAGCAGGAGTACTAGTTGGCGTCAGGAAGAAACTGAAAAATACATTTATTGTTCTCACTGTTTTCTTTATGTTAGAGATTATGGTTTATTTTACCATTTGTTATAGCCAATATTCTCAAAGGCATTAGGGGGTCTAGTCATGCGCTAGCCTATGTCTAGCGCCTAGGCAGGAACTACTCGGAGATATATAAATTATATTTGCATAAGTATGATAAGTAATATTGTATTTGTGTGTGTCTATATCATATATAAACACACATTAACATCCAATGTATGAAAGACAAGTCGTCACATTTAATAATATATTACAACTAATAACTTAATTTCATTATGTAATACGTATTAAATTATACTCTCTCCATAAAGGTTCATCTCGAGCCCTGGTTTAATGGAGGATGGTGATCTCAATAATGGAATGACTTGTCTTTGAGTGTAGAAAAAATATGACATTTGAGTTGAGATGATAATTTCTTTGTTGGTTTGCCTTTAATAAGCGCTTAATTTGACGTCATAGGCAAGACGAGTGTACCTCTTTAAGGAGAGGATGGATGGCTATCAACACTTCAAAAACATCATTGTTCTCATAGTGCAACCCGTGTAGCTTCATCTACACTCGGGACGAACATTTTAAGGATTCCATTCTTCATCTCCGCCTTAACATCTTGAGCCATATAGGCTTCCGAGTGAATCGTAATATAACCCTCATAATTCCTCCCGGACTCTTCTCCTTCCAATTCGATTTCCCCTTTTCCGGAAAAGTACACCGTGTAGTAGTTCTCCCCCCCACACCTTGAACCCGTCCGCCGCGACGCCCGGCATAGTCACTCGCACCACCGCCCCTTCCTTCGTTTTATCCAATTCAACCACGCTACCTGGCCCGCCCATCTGGAATGGATTCACCACCTTGAATCTCTCTTGCTTTCCGTAACGCATAACTGAAACAAGCAAAACAAATTTATCAGAATCTGATGGGAAATATTTGTTTTGAATGGATGGGAAGAATACGATCGAGGACTACGTGGAGGACATTGGGGACCGGTGACGGAGGAAGAAAACAGGCGATTAGCGATTGAAGAGGCTACAGCGGTGGGATGAGTATTGTGCCGGAGGAATTTGGTGAAGACGGTTGATGCTGCCGCAACATTTTTCAGAGTTATCGCTGAACGAGGCATTTCGGTTTTAACAAAGAGGTGGAAACGTGGTAGAGGCAAGAGCCAGAGCTATAGAGCATTGGTGATGAGACCATCTCCAATGCAAGGGTGTGGTCTCTTACACACCCTTACACATGGGTCCCATTTTTATCTCACAAATTTTATGTGTAGGACCCACATATTTCCCAATTTATTTTCATTTTTATTTTTTTATATCACTTTTAACCCACTTTTCATCAACTTTTCCTCTTCGAATCCCGTGTAAGATCCATATATGGACCTTGTCATAGACCTTGATCCATTTTTACCTCTATCTCTCTCCTCTTTTTCATTTTTCCCTACACACCACTTCATCCCAATATTTATTATATCTCTATCTCTCTCCTATGCCACATCAGATGCAATGCACCCTCCCATTGGAGATGCTCTGAGAGGGCAAAGTCATGACCGGGGTGTATTTCAAATGTGGGCCTAATTTAGAAAAATTAGGGAGAAGTGGGGTCTATTTAAACCGACAAACGCATATAGAGTTATATACTTATATTATAAATATTAAAAATTATGGGAGTGTATTTATAAGTATTAAAAGTTATAGGGATGAATTTATAAATATTAAAAATATATTTTTTTTAAAAAAATATACATATACTATCCTCTAACGTCTATCCATTCTTGGCATTGAATCATTTTACATTTTCAAGATACATTAGTGATAGGATGATGAGTAAATTAGAGATGAGTGAATTAGGAATAGGCCCACTAGTTGTGCTCCACATAAAAGCAAGGTACAAATTATTTTTAACTTTTCATTTTATAAGAACTTTATTATGTAAAATTTGGGTGTTTTTTTAAGTTGATACATGTTTCCGTCAGGATACGAGTATCCGAAATTTTAAAATAATTACTAAAAAGGGAAAATTTAAAAAATTGCATATATGGCCCGAGAATGTACAGTACGAGTATCCTAGACTATCAGATTTTTTTTAATAAAAAAGCATTTTATTGAGAATGGAATAATTTACCAGTGATGAAGATAAAAGAGTAAAAGCAGGAAAAGAAGAACACTCATGAAGTAAGTAGCATTGCGGTTCGGCCCAGAGGTGGGCCTAAGGAATATTTTCAGTCGGTCCAAAAGCTCTGATCGAACATAATACGGCCAACACACGATCATCCTAGACTATCATATACAGGAACGTTTCCGATAAATCGATACGGTGCCCTAGTGAAGTATTCATACTTCATAGCTCCAATGCAATTAAGAGCATCTTCAATACAAAAATGTGAATAGTGCATACGTGGTATGAAAGATCGTTATTCAAACAATAAATAGAATATTTCTTTCCTTATTTGAACAATCTTTTTTTTTTAATCTGGTATGCAACCAAAAGATCCCATAGGGATGGTTTGGGGTATGGGCCAGGGAACTCCCTACCTGCTTATTAAAAAATAAAAAGTATGATACAAAGAGTAGGAGAACCAGACAAAAGTCTACTCAAATTAAAATACATAAGGGTAACTAATATCATCAAATTTAAGAATACCCGTAAAATGATTTAAATGATGGTCGTGGGTATTTACAGAAGTGTTCCTATAAACTAGAAACTTATCAGCGCAATTGATCTGAAGATGAATGTGGGTAATCGACTAGCTATAATCCTTCAATTGTCTTCTGATTTCCTGTATTTGAGGCCAACATTTCCAGTGTTGAACTGACAAGCCCAAAATCCCTTCAGAAATATTTCTATTAATTATCAACTTCAGGAATAAAATTAGAAGTGTTTATTTTCTTGATGGTAATAATAGTGTCAATGATAGCTTTGTAAGAGGTAGTGTGGTTGTGACTAGTCCGACCAATGTAGGTCAATGCCCAATGTAAGCTCCTGAACAATCCCGAATGAGCTTAAGGTTTGGGTCAGCTAGTTAATTGGACTTAACTAGTGGATAGCGAGTGAGCTTTGTCCTTGGTATTTGCACATGACTTATACATTTTTTATAGTTAGGTTGTCCGCAACGTTAAAGGTGAAAAGCTAGTTTTAATCACCCCCCCCCCCCCAAGAGGCAAGAGTGCCAAAGTGGATTGTGGGCACCCCTGGGCACCCTTCGTGAGAGAATTTTCTTGGCTATTCACTGAAGAGGAGAAGAACGTACCGGTAGAGTCCTGGCGGCATGTTACACAAAAAAAGTGGGACAACAGATTGGATTTATATCGATTAAAGTTTACTCATATCCATCCACAAATATGCATACTTCACTAATTCGTCCATTATCTGTTAAAAATTACATTCACATTCAACTGAACCATCATGTCCAGGTTAATAGGGTGAATTGGGTAGTTAACGGATGAACATAAATGGTGAAACTTCACAGAAAAAATAAACAAATTTAAGAGAAAAATCATCACAATTAAAAACAAAAACTTAAGAAGTCATTAAATATAATAATAAAAATATTTGAACGATTGAGCATGTAACAATCATTAATCCACTAGATCAATGTCTCACTCGTAGTAAGTAGGAATCTAATTTCCAAATAAGATAAATTTGGAATATATATATATATATATATATATATATATATATTAAATGTAATATTATATAGATAATATATTAATATAGAAATGAGAGTGGGTGGGTGGAGCGGGTGATGGGTTTTTGGGTTTTTCATCCATACATTTTGGGATTTTCGTTCACTTAATGAGTTCAAGTTGATCGGATATTCTAGATTCAGGTAATATTATATATTATGAGCACTAATAAAAATAATCATTCCATTTTAAAATATTTCACTAATTTACATTCCTTGTTAAAAATATAGACTCGGCCTCCAAGTGCTCGGTGAGCCCATGTATCGGAATTTCTTTCATGAATTCATAGAACTCAGTGGTAAAATTGAGTGAATTATCTCTTGGGTAAGCATGAAATTGAGGCATAGCATGAAAAATAGATATTCTTCATTTCATAATCTCATGCCGCCTCGCTTAGAACAATGCAAGATGAGCTGGCGGCAACAACGGGGCTTTTGCTCTCGTTTAGTGTGGGTATCATCTTTGTCCTTTGGGTGTTTTTGAGGTCAAGAGTTTAAACCAAGAGTTTCAAGGTTCTAAGATCTTTGACTTCTCAAAAGCATGCAAACACAAAGATTTTCTATCAAACTAAACTAAATAGAAGAATTTGTGAAAACCAAGAGAATATGGTTTTGATTGTGTTTTAACTTTATAAAGACAAGTCGTCTCCTCGACAATGGCGCTGAGAATTTGATCGGGCTAAGCTTGCAAGTATTCAAGGGTCATATGTAAAACAATTTGGTAAAATACTGGGTCAAATTCACATGGGAATGATATTCTATAAAGGTCGGCTTTGAGGATTAAAATAGATTTATTTATTACACTGATAGAAGTATGTAAATAATATCAAGGAGAAGATAATTCGGACTAGCGTATGCAGATAATTCACGCCGGATTCGTCAGAAGTGACAAACGGACGAACTAGACTAATTTTTTATTAGTTTAAATAGCACGAGTTGTAGACACACACATGTTCTTATTCATAAATACACGGATTCATATGCAGTTATGTGCAACATACTCATAATTATCAACATACACATGTTCATACTCATGTTCTTAGTATAGTGATTATATTCCATCCATATGCTTAGTGATTAATGTATCCCTTACATGTTTAGTGCCTTAGTGTTCTAAATTGGATGATCAATATTGAAAGTTAATTGATTGTTGATTGTTGATTGTTGAAGTCATTGACCACTTGAAGGGTGGAGGCAGGGGCAGTTAGGTTGCTTGAGAGTTGATCATGAATAATGTGCATATATTTTGTATCGTCTCTATGTCTGATTATTTCTAGAATGTGCAGAGACTTAAATAATTAAGTGACATTGTTTATTTCTCTTGACCTCTTAGTATGTTAACTCTTGCTTGCAAGCGGAAGAAATCTTCCAAATTGAGATAAATTCCTATTGTGTTTACAAGTGTACAAGAAATGATGTGAATTATTTGCAGCAGCCTTCCTGCTTTGCACGGGAAAAGGGGGTTCACAGGAAGGAGCTTGTTGACCAGCTCAATGTTTGTCCTAAAAATATTTTAGGAGCAATTGAATCTGTGGAAGTAGAAGGGCTGCAGGTTTACTCTACAATAGATGGTCATTATTTCAAGTCCACCGGTAATGGCTGAGAAAGAGTGTCTTCTCCAATGTTTGTGATTCAGACAATAAGGCCCTTTCGTTAGATTGGTATTTGTTACTTGATGTGTGAAGAGGCTTTCTCCCATATTTGGATAGTGAATGTCATGAAATCATGTAATTTTGGTGAAAATGGATGAGAATTATGGATGTGTAGAAAATGGTGTAATACTATTTCTTATTTTTCCTCAATAATAATGAGTTTGGGAAGATTGATCCATCACGCAACGAATATTTCATTGTATGGTAGCTAAATTAATAGATGTGAATGGAAATGGTGGAGAAACTAGAAAAGAGAGATGAAGAAGTGAGGTATGTGAAGAAGGGGAGAAGAGGCGTATGAGGAAGGGTAAGAAAAGAGAGTGAAAAAGGAGTTGAGTGGAAAGGGATAATATTGAGGAACTGGAAGATGAAAACTTCTCTGTGAAAATATGGAATTGGAGGAGGTGTGACGTTGCAGAAGAAGAAAGAAAAGAAAACACAAGGGGGGGGGGGGGGGGGGGGGGAGAAGGTGGAGGCGGTGAAGCGTAGTAAAAGGCAGAAAGTGAGGTAAATGGGTTGGGAAAAAAGCTTTTATAACGTGTACATGAACGTGTAAAACGCCGTGTACACAACGCATTTCTCTTAATTGTTTTATTATAGAATTTCTTATACATAGTATCAAGGAGAAGATAATTCAGACTAGCGTATGCAGTTAATTCATGCCGGATTCGTCATAAATGACAAAACGGACGAACTAGACTAATTTTTTATTAGTTTAAATAGCACGAGTTGTAGACACACACATGTTCTTATTCATAAATACACGGATTCATACGCAGTTATGTGCAACATACTCATAATTATCAATATCTCATTGTTTCTTCAATTCTTGCATGTTACTTTAACTATTTGTCTATATTCGTATATACAAATCATATTTACATAGTTTCTTAAACAAAGTTCTTTCTTACACGAAAAGTAAGAATTATTCTTGATTCTAATGTAAGAAAATATAGAAGAATGAATCTAGAGTTCTAGAGTCTAGACCATGAGTAGAGTGGGGCTTCCGAGTGAAATTTTTTTTTTTAAAAAAAAATGTGACCCTGGTCCCCAAACCACCACACATACTCATAGATATTTCACCCTTGGGATCTCAAATTGTTGGACAGCCGAACTTGCACTTTAATTCTTGAACTTGGTAGTTAGTTTACGAGTGCTATTAAAAGTCTAGCTTGTAGTTTTAAGTTGTACTTGTATGTTGAACTTGATGAAATATGAACATTCTTTCATATAACTACTACGTATTTTGTATTAAAGCCTTTTCCATTAGAGACTTCTTCCCTAGGTCTTTGGCTTAATGCTTCGACAAATGTTTCATAAACTAGTGCAACACAATTTAGTGATATGCAATACGGATGTCTAGGTGACAGAAAAATGTCTACAGAATACAAATGTGCACTTCAAGAGTTCAAGTTTAATGTTGTTGAGTCCAAATGTTCGATGATTGAAAATCTTTTCCGCAAAATGGATCAAGTCTCTACCAAGTCTTGTGTCGAATCACAACTCTCAGGTTTCCCCTTTGTAGAAGAAACTGGATTGGATCAAAGAGGAGCTTCTTGGACAGCTTGAGGGTTCTTATTAGGGTGGGTATAGCAGGTTTCGGTTTGATTCGCTTGGAATGGGTATATTTTTTTGTTTGATTTGGTTCGTTTTAGTTCTGTTTGATTTGGTTTGGATTTGTGATTTTTTTAATAACGTACTTATTGAATTTCTTTAGTTCGGTTCGATTTTCTTTTGATTTTTAACGGTTTCAGTTCAATTCAGTTTAATAAGGTTTGGAAGAAATACTATCAACTCAAACCAAATTGCATAATATCCGATCTCGGTTCAGTTTAGTTCAGTTTGGTGCAGTTCCATTTGTACCAATATGCCCACCCCTAGTTCTTAATTTCTTATGCCACTATATTGCAATTCCAATCTTGGTCACTCTCAGGTTTCAGTGGAAGATCCAAAACTTATAACAATGATAAAATTTTAAAGCTTTAATCTGCATTAAGGATCGATACATACAGAGTATTTGATTTCGGATATCATTATTCCCAATTTTCTAATCTGCTGTGATTTTTCCCCTGCGGAGAATCAAATAATTATCCGTGCTTTTGATTCATATGGAATTAATCAAGAGTACAGTTAAAGAGACGACCTTCAATTCTTTCACCACTAAATGCAAACAAATATCAACTCCTCAAATCCATCTCCAAAAGGGAGAAACTACCCAATTCAAACAAAATAAGAACGAAAAATTAAGTAAACCAAAACACCTGCGGGCTCTAAGCTTCATCAGCATCGCCCTCGCGTTTTTTGGGCTTCCGATAGGTCTCCTCCACCTGCTTGGCGACGAAGACGCCGGTTTGATAGAACTTGTTAATGTCGGGAAGGTTGTAATTCTGGGCCAAGTAAACTCCCAAAGCTGTCCCTAGAAGGAAATTGAAAGAGCTCCGTATGATTCCCATCTCATAAACGCCGCCGCAATCTTCGCTCTGTGATTCAATATTTTAGTTCTTTCTATGCTCTAACCTAAGGCGTAAGGAACTCGAAATTAGTGGAAGGAAATCGAGGAATATTTGAAAACTTTGATTACTGTTTTGACAGAGGCAGCTGACTCCTTCATCAAGCCACCAAATTCAGTGAGGGCCACTACGATGGGTGCGAGTCCATTCCCATAGTAATTGGGCTAATTTTCAAGGGTTCAAGTGTCGATTTTTGTAATTAAATAAAAGAAGGGTAACTTTTTCAAAAAAAAAAAAAAGGGGTAACCAAATTGGAATTAAGGTCAAAACTAGTTATTCTACTCATGCGTTGCACGGGACTACGGGAGTGAAGTATATACCTATACAAATATATATACGTAATTATATAAAAGTTATAAAAATTTTATATTGATCGATTAACTGAAAATGTTAAATATAATCTAAAATGTAATGATATTGTAATAGCAAGCTATGAAATAAATGTTAACAATTAATTGCGAAATATCATATAATGACAATATAAGTCCATGAAACTAAAAATTATGTTATTATTATAAGTTTCTTTCTATACAACATATAACATAAACTTGATTGATTATTCATATTTATCACAAATCACGAACTTCAATTCAGATTATAACTTATTACTCTTGCAGACCACCACACACAATTGATCACGGGGCAGTAAATTAAGTGTCATTTCATAATTAACCATCAATGAATGGGGGTGTCCCCACTTGGAGGATTTTAATGGAGTTCAGAATTCCGTCAGAATTCAGGTGTCCCCAATTTGGATTTCTGTGGAATTCCGTCATAAAGGAATTCCGTCAGATTAACCATCCCGTTGATTTCTGTAGTTACTTATTTGGATGGATTTTAATGGATTTTGATAGATTTCTATATTCAAAAACAATCCACCAAAATCTTGTAGACTCCAATGGAGGAGCCACTTGATTCAAAAGTGTTCATATGAACACCTAGAATCTGGAAAAATATGTTAGTATACCTATCTACTTTTATTTAATTATTATTTATCCTCTCTTCAAATTTTAATTAAAAAATATTTTGAACACCCAAAGCTCAAAATGCTGATCCGCCACTGGTAGACTCCCCTTGGATGTCAAAATCCATGATCTCTCTTAAAATCCATCAAAGTCATAATCGAGGACACCCCCGATAACTGTTTATGCTCAAATATTAGTGGAGGTCTCATCCAATGGTGTTAAAGTAAATATAGGCATAAGAAACTATTAACGGACATCTACTTCGTGCATCATTTGAACTTCAATAATATGATATTCAAATTTTATCAATCAAAAAATCATGTACATTCTATGTTTCTTATAATCATAACAGGCACAGTCACTTTCGTTTTTAACTCCTGACTTGACACACTGAAACATTTAATATTAATATTCTACACATGCAATGTAGTAATGTACATTGTGTAGGTGGTCACTATCTCAGTTAGATGAAGAAACTGAAAATAAGCTTAGATAGCTCTTTAACTCTGTATATATATCTCACCCAACATTAATCATCAACTTTATCAACCTCATCCATGATAGGATTTTTATATCTATTGTATTATTGGTTGATGATTCGAGACAACTTAAATTAGGTGTATCCACATGCAGACACGCGTACAAACAATGCAGACTCACATTTAGGGTGCAAGTCTATTAAAATATATCTATCTTAAATTCAAAACACAAAAACAATCAAAAGCTTTTGTGTTAAGAGTTACATGTATTGTTTAAAAGTAAAGTTCACTTATTAAAAAATTTTATGAAAAAGAAACTTTTATTAATTATTTTTATCATCATCCCTCTATTCTCTATCATTTTTAGTGTCATACCAAGTGAAGTGTTTCAAACTCATTCTTACTTTGAATTCAACATCAACAACATAACTCTTTTCCTTAACATGTATGACTTTGATCTCAAATATCAGGCTGATTCCGGTTCTACGGGGAATTCATTTACAAATCAAGTGCAAAATTAGAGAAGATAAAAATGAGAGTATATTCACAAAAGCACAAAAAGTGGTTGTGGTTGTTTAAAAATATTAGTGGTTCAATCAGTTTCAATATGTTGTGCATTTAGGTCTAATATTATTCTAAAATCTACACATAGAATAACCAAAGCTAATTCTATCATCACAATACGATAAAAGAAAAGGATAACTGGTCTTACGACTGCGCACCTTTATCATTTGTGAAAAAAAAGACACATCACACATGCCATACATTATGTTATTATAGCATGAGCTTAGAAGAAGAATAAAAACATCGTCATTTGGAAAAGTAAAGCGACATTTATTTTTTCACAATTGAATGTTTTTAGTATTCATATGAACACCCTTGAACAATAGTGACTTGAGCATTTTTTCGGTCTGACCTCACATATGAGGAGCTCTAAAATCAGAATACACTAATGAATATACTCTTGTGCTTAACTCATTCGATCAAATGGTATGATATCAGAGGATCCACACATCCACACTGGTACATTTACAGTCTAGATCAACACTTCATGTTTTCTTGTGGTACAACTTATCACCTCACCCAATATAATCCCAACCTTGATTTGCATCGAGCTTATCTCACAATGAAATCTACAATCATAGTTGTTTCACATATTACGATTAGTTAGCTTACTACTTAAGTAGCTAGCCTCTTTTTTCACACATGGAGGATAGCAACACAACAAATGAATAACACACTTAATAATTTAAGTTGTAGGTAAAAAAGAAGCATATTGCAATTATTATAAGCAAGTGTTGAAAGATTATTTGATACTATGCAACATGCATATGATAAAAAAAAGGTAACTTTGGATTATTTTAATGTTGAAAAATAATAATCAAATTATTAATGGGTATTATATGACTAAAAACCCAATATCTATTGCAATTCATTAATTTAAATTTATGCTCATTTAATTATATAATCAAAATCATACATTTTGACTAAGTTGTTAATTAGGAAGAATAATATTAATATCATGTATAATGTTAATTATTTTTTGTAATCGTGAAACAGGCCACTAAAAATGTGATAGGGGATAGGTCCACTCTAAAAGAAGATTGCAAGATAAATAGGGGAGCTAATGTTGGTGATTTTAGTGTCCCCGGCCGTTTTGTGTAATTGGAAATGACATGAGTGCCAATGAGAATTAGAACTATGATCTAATACAAGTTAGTAGGTGTGGAGTGCACACTTGTATATAAGAACTAGTTTAATTCCAAAGTGTCTACGTTAGTGGAACTCGAGATAGAACTCGAGGTATAACTTTCAATAGACCAGCTCTGTGGTTCTAGACCGAGTTCTAGAACGGTTAGACAGTTTCCAGTGGTTTCCCAAAAACTGTTGCAGTTATTCTTAAACATGTTGCAACTGCCTAGGACGGTGAATATGGATATATATCACCATATTTCGTACAATGGAGATAGAGGAAGAAGATCCAACATATCTTCATCATTTTGGCACTCAAATTAAAGATAACAATCCATATACTCGACTAGTTTGGCTCTACTTCTTGTGCCTAAGTTCTAGAGTGTCCTTAAGTATTATCCTAGATTGAATTTCTTGTAACCCAGGCATAGGGGAGAAATATCAATTCGGAAAGTGAACTTACACGATCCTTAAGATATCCAAGTACTCAAATTATCACCCCCTACGTGAGACCCCAACAGCTAAACCGAGGCCTAATGCCAACCCTTAAAGGACATGCTCTTCTCGAATATAAAATCCAAACAAAAAGAGTTAATCCTAATCATAAGGCATAACTAAATGCCTAGATTTAAAACTAGGGGCGGGCAAGAATCCCGGTCCCGTTGTCGCATTCCGGTATATCCCGAAACCGTACTGGTGTTGTCCCGTTCCGTTTGGGTCTCATTGATTTTGTCCCGTACCGGTTTAAAACGAGACGGGACCGGGACATTGGAAGGTTATCCCGAACCGTCCCGTTGTCCCGTTTGTAATAACTATATAGATTTTGTAGCATGTGACTAGTTTGTAATGTCAATTCAAAAAGAACATGTTTTTAGTTTTTCAAGCCTAATTTTTAAATTAAAAATAATACCTAACATAAATATTTACTAACATAGGTTTTTATCTCACTTTACATATCTACATATGAGTATCTCACAACTAGAACGCATGATTTTGAATTAACTAATTCATTTTTGCTTTGTTTTAAATTTAAATCTCAAATTTTGCTAAACCTAACTAAAATCTGATACGTAGTAGCTTTTAGCTTGTGATGAACATCAATTAATTTTTAAAATGTTAATATTTTGGTGCATGATACTTTAGAAATGCAAATATATATTAATTACAAATGATTATTCTTTGTTAGTTTGGGACGTCTCGAACCGTCCTGAACCATTCCGAATCATCCTCGTCCCGATTTAAATGGAACAATACTAGGACAAAGGCTTGTCCCGTACCATCTCGTCCCGTTATTATTAATTGGGATGAGACCGGGATAACCCTAATCTCGAACCGTCCCGACCCATGCCCACCCCTATTTAAAACAATTTGTGAGTACATGCTAAAATAGAGACAATAAAGCACTCTTGTTAAATAAAGCGCTATTTAGGGGTTATTTCCTGAATATTACTAAATTAAGGTTGATTTCTAAAAAAGTGACCACATTTAAATTTAGACAGAAATGTGACTAAAATAAAGTGACATCCAAATCATTTATGTCACTGTCCCATTTTCATGTCACTGTCGTCGCCGTCCGTGTCACTGCCGCCGCCCATATCACTGTCATCACGGCTCGTGTCACTGTGGTCGCCGCCCGTGTCACTGCGGCCGCCGCCCGTGTCACTGCGGCCGCCGCCCGTGTCACTGCGGCCGCCGCCCGTGTCACTGCGGCCGCCGCCCGTGTAATTCCGGCCGCCGCTTGTGTCACTGCCACCGCCATCGACGGCCATAGCTACACAAAATTACTCTGGCCACCGCCTCTCCGCCGGTGACCACCACACCCCAGCCCCTGCCCCACTACCCACTGCCCTTGACCCGCCCCTAGCCCTACACATCAGCTGCCCCTGCCCCACTCTCCTGCCCCCAGCCCCACTCCCGGTCCCCAGCCCCCTCCCATGCTCCCCTGCCCCGCCCCCTGTTCTTCCCAAGGCCTCTCCCCGGCCAGTTCGCCAGCCACCATGGAGTCCTCACCGTACCC